ATTAGCTTATCTTATCCTTAGCAAGATAGAACTGGAAGTCTCCCTATTCAGCAAGGAGACTCCCTTTGATTAGGACTCTTGTAATCTCCTATTTAAGGAGACHCMATTATKRAATDAGATATCAAATTATTCAGTCAAGAGTGAGTTAGGAGAGTTGGTGATCTCTTGGACAAATCACCGAAGGCGCCAAGATAGGTTCATCACAAGTAGGAAGAAACAAGGGAAAACAGAAGGTTTTCCCTGTGGACCGACCCGTGACGAGATCCTATTCCCAGGCCCTCAACAAACCAGCTTTCCCCCTAGATGTGATATAAAGTTTAATGCCTTTTGACCATTCCAGATAATTTAGGCCATCAAAGGGGTAAGTCAGAGATTTTCATGCTGTCCATCCCTCATTAAGGTTTCCTTGAGAGGAAGTAATACCAGAGGTTGCTGAATCCTCAATAGCCATTTTACCCAATGTTTTACTGCTGATTTTCCAAGAAAAACTGAGAAAGAAGTTCTGTACTTCTACAACACTATTATTGGTACAAATAGTTGGCTATCCAACCACCCAAATAGAGAGTGGCACACTAACCAAGGAAGACAGCAGCACCTCCACCACCTGTAACTTAAAAAAGGGCTCCAAAAACAGGTTCAGTCAGACTGTAGGTCAGTAAACCCTAGCCAAAAAACACTTTAGCTTATAGGAAAGGAGACAACCAGTTCCTACAACCCCAAACTGACATTCACAGTAATCACACACTTAAATGTGAATGTAATAGTACATACCCGGATTACAATAGTGATTCCACAACCCACAATCCATAAAAATCTAGGTGCAAACCCTAGAAATACTGCTCACTGCATTCGGCTGTCACCACAATCACCACAAAGCCTCTTCTTGGTGCAACGACCAAGAGAGAAAAGAAAAAAAATAGGAAAACTAAAAGGCTAGGTCAGTCTGAAGGAGTTTTCTCTTCCTCTTCCAATTGAAAAACAGAGTTTTAGATGGAGAACTCGATTTGAGAATATTAGGCCCAGATCAGCGCTTTGATACCATGTAGTCTAGTAGAAGAAAAAATAAAATAGAAGAAGAAAAGAGAGAAGGAAGAGAGAAGAAGAGAAGTTCTTATTCAAAAGAGATGTGGCTGCGGGCACCTAAGTTAGTATTTATACTTAGGGTGACAACTTTAAAAAATAGAGGAAATGCCAAAAATACCCCTATGCTAGTACCTAACATGCTACAACAATAGTTGTACATCTCATCCTATTTCCCATTATGTTTTTGTTGCTCACCTTTCTGCTTCCCATTGGTAGTTTTTATCTTTATTATCATCTGTTTCCATTTCTAAAAATGTCCAAGAAGCCATTACCTCTCCAGGGTGGTGGCAAGCAATGAAAGAGGAATTGTCTACACTAGCATACAATCACATATGAGAGCTTACCACTGTCCCTCCTCGTAAGCATGTTGTTGGATGTAAGTGGGTATACACAATGAAATATCTTCCAGATGGCAGTGTGGAACGGTTGAAAGCCAGGTTAGTGGCAAAAGGCTATTCTCAGTTGTATGGTGTTGACTATACAGAGACGTTCTCTCTTGTGGCTAAGATTGGTTCAGTTTGAGTGTTGATTTCTTTAGCAGCAATGTATGACCTCTTTCAAGTTGACATAAAAAATTCCTTCTTACATGGTGATCTTGTTGAGGAGGTATATATGGAGCAACCACCAAGGCCTGTTGCTTAGGGGGAGGATGGTAAAGTTTGCAGACTCAAGAAGRCAATTTATGGCTAAAACAATCTCCATGTGCGTGGTTTGGCAGATTCAGAGAAGTAGTGAGGGACACTAGCATGAAACAGTGTCAGGTTGACCATTTAGTGTTCAATTATGAATCAGAAACTGGGAAGACTTTGTTAGTGGTGTATGTGGATGACATTGTCATAATTGGTAGTGATAACAATGGGATTGACAGGTTGAAGAACTTTCTACATGATCACTTCCAAACAAAAGATTTGGGTAAATTGAAATATTTTTTGGGAATAGAAGTTGCAAGGTCAAGACATGGTATTAACTTGTGCCAAATAAAGTATGTCCTTGATTTACTTAAAGAAACATGGTTGTTAGGTGCCAAACCAGCTAAAACACCCATGGAACCAATGYCAAATTAAGTATTGATGCAGGTGAAGAGTTTGATGATTCTGAAAAGTACATGAGGTTGGTGGGTAAATTGAACTACTTGACTATTACTCAGCTAGATATATCATTTGCAGTAAATAAGGTGAGTCAGTTTATGCAACATCCTTGAGTTCCACATTGGGAGGCAGTTCTAAGAATTGTTAGGTACTTGAAGGGAGTTTCAGGTCGTGGATTATTATGAGTAGAGGAAGTCTTGAAATAGAGGGGTACATAGATGCTAATTGGGCCAGATCTGTGTCTGACAGGAGATCCAGTACAGGGTATTGTACCTTCCTGGGTGGCAATCTGGTGACTTAGAAGAGCAAGAAACAAACTGTGGTAGCAAGAAGCGGTGCTGAAACTGAATACAAAGCCATGGCTCATACTACATGTGAACTTTGTGTGGCTGAAAAATCTTTTGCAGGAAATGGGATTCTCAGTTGACAGGCCCATGAGGTTGTATTGTGATAACCAAGCTGCAATCCACATTTCTTCTAATCCAGTTTTTCACGAGAGAACAAAGCATATTGAAGCTTACAGCCACTTTGTAAGAGAAAAGGTGATCAATGGAGTGATAACCACAGCTCATGTGAGTTCAGGAAACCAGTGGGCAGATTTGTTTACAAAAGGGTTGAGTTGGGGGAAAGTGGATTACATATGTAACAAGATGGGACTATATGATATATATTCTCCATATTGAGGGGGAGAGTTAGAATCGATAGTACAAGGGTAGTTTGATCATTTGTCTATTTAATTAGGGTTGAGTTGTCTATTTTGTTTGATTTTAAGTTGTGTCTCCCATACATAATGACAGACAGATTTGTCTTTTGTAGTCTAATACCAAGATTATAAATATAAGGCAGGTCGAATGAGAGGGATAGACTTTTCCTCTTCTCAGACCGAACCCTTTCTTCTTCTCCTCTCTTCTTCTTCTTCTTCTTCTTCTTCTTCTTCTTCTTCTTCTTCTTCTTCTTCTTTCTTTCTTTCTTTCTTTCTTTCTTACTTATCTCAGACCTAGGACTGAACTAGTGTTAATCAAATCATTCACAAATTTTAAGGCTGTTCTATCTATAATTATCCAACTTTTTGATTTTAGTAAATTGTCATCCTATTTTATTTATTCCAAATGTCTCATATTGTTTGGTTTGTGGTTTATTATTTCCTGTTATAGTCCATCAACATAAAGTCATTATCATCCAACAAGTCATCATTTTGATGATAGTTCATTCAAACAATAAATCAAGGCTACTTTCATGTAGAAACAAATGATTATTACTATGATTATTTACCTTTGCAGTGTTATCTCTTGATCCTGTCATTGGAGCTATTGCTGCGGGTAACACTGTGGTCTTGAAACCGTCTGAAATTTCTCCAGCCACATCCTCATTGCTTGCTAAGTTATTGAAGGACTATGTTGACTGCTCTACCATAAGAGTTGTTGAGGGAGCTGCTGCTGAGACGACTGCACTTCTGGAGCAAAAGTGGGATAAAATCTTGTATACAGGTTTTTACCCATTCATTAGGGAAAGAAACTTTAACAGAGAAAGACACTCAATTTTTTTTGCTTTTATCAATAACCATTGGCTCACCTTAATGTAGTTTCCTGTCTAGTTTGATTTATGAGTATTATTATAATCTGACAAGCTAATTGTCAATTATGCAGGTAATGGAAATGTGGGGCGCATTGTGATGGCTTCTGCCGCAAAGCATGTTACACCCGTAATCTTGGAGCTTGGAGGAAAATCTCCAGTTGTTGTTGATTCAAAAATCAATTTAACAGTAAAGAAATTTTCGTTTTCTTCACAGTTTCCTTAATGGTGCCATATTTTCTTTCAGTTTTTCTTATCTTTTTTTTTTCTGCTAATGGTGTTGTCTTTTCTTTTATTAAATTTTTTATGCTTATACAAAATTGTCTTTGTGATTCCAAGGTTTCAGCAAGGCGGATAGTTGCAGGCAAGTGGGGATGCAATAATGGGCAAACCTGTGTTTCTCCTGATTATATTATAACAACAAAGACTTTTGCTACAAAGTTGGTATGCACGACTTTTCCTTATGGATTTTTTTTTTCAAATGTGGAAGCAGTGTATTTCTTTCTATGTGGATTCTTCTTCTACTAATAATATGTTCTCTTCAGATTGATGCTTTGAAACATGTATTGGAGGAATTCTTTGGAAAGGATCCATTACAATCAAAAGATCTTTCTCGCATTGTTAACTCTAGTCACTTTTCACGTTTGACAAAACTTTTAGATGAGGATAAGGTTTCAGGAAAGATTGTGTATGGAGGCCAACGGGATGAGACCCAGCTGTGAGTTCCATCATTCCAACTGTATACTATTTTATTTCAGTTAATAACCTAATAGGTATGTGGACAAATCATTGAGACTATTAGTACTTCTCTGAATCCATTACAGAAAGATTGCCCCCACCATATTATTGGATGTCCCAGAAGATTCTCTGATAATGAATGAGGAGATATTTGGGCCCCTACTTCCCATTATAACGGTGAGAATGGAGTCCATTTAAAGAAGTTTTCTCCTCGTAACATTTATTCTGTTGATAAAGTTGTCTTTCCAATATTTTTGGGCTTCAAGGCCTATGGTGTATGTATATACGAAACACAACATGGAAATGATTTTTTTTTTTTTTCTTTCTTCTGATCTGGAAAGGTTGACAAGGTGGAAGACAGCTTAAATATCATAAACTCAAGGTCAAAACCGCTTGCTGCGTATCTCTTCACCAGTAGCAAGAAGCTTGAGAAGGAGTTTGTTGAAAAAATTTCTGCAGGAGGGATGCTCATCAATGATACTGTGCTGCATGTAAGAAAGGATAAAAGTATAATCTAAGAAAAAAAAGAAAGAAAGAAAAGCATTACATAGATTATGTACATGCATGCATACATTCATGGATACATATTGCACACAGTCACAAGGCCTACTAAATAGATTTTAGATATTTAACATTGTGGGTTATTGGTACTGGTTCCTGGTATACCATAAATCACATGGATTAGTTTGCCATATCCATATATTTACCCATTTCTTGTTAAACTTTTAAAGGACATTGGTTTTGAATCCATGCGTTCCTACATGTTTCAGAATCCATGCATATAAATGTGCATAAACAAGTGTTTTTTTCTTTTTGGAAGGAAAAGGAAAACTCGGCATCCAATGAAGTATCTTAATTTGATTTTGCAGTTAACAAATCCCAGTTTACCATTTGGTGGAGTTGGAGAAAGCGGATTCGGTTCATACCATGGTAAATTTTCATTTGATGCTTTTAGCCACAAAAAGGCAATTCTATATCGACCTTTTATTGGGGATGTGACTGTAAGGTACCCACCATATACACCCAGAAAAATTAGATTACTGGATGCTCTTCTTCACCACAGTACGGGCGTAATTCCTGCTTTGATTGGATTAGGAAAGAAGGTTTGAATGATCAGATTGAACTGACAGTGTGCGTCATAGTGTGTTTATGTAAGTTTCTTATATATATACACCAGTGGAACCTGTGTGATGCATGGACTTGCCCTCAATGATACCTTAATTTTAAAAGGGAATAATATAATTCTTAATTATCTCTCAATGTTAAAATGATGATCGGAGATGGGATGAATAATCTTATTAATACAGAAACACATATATATTTACAAACCCAGAGTTTAACAAGTTCATAGCTAAAACCACATTTGGTAAAATCTAAAGGGTTTTGGCTTGTGAACAACCTGAGTTACTAAGTCTAAGATTAGGGCATTATGATCTAAACCCCACCTAGGTCCCAGGCTTAAGGCTACAAGAGGAAACCAAAGAAGCCAATCAGGCGAGACCAAGACTCTACCAAGATTCTTAGCTTGATTACCCTTTCCTCTGACAAATCTGGACTAGGTTACCCCATCCGCAAGTGCCTTAATCTCCTGTAGGTCTGGGTCTCTTACTAGGTTAATAAATTCTGGAATCACCCTATTTCTACTTGAGCCTACACCCAGAACCAACGAGACCATACCCTCATCATCAATGGACCCGGACTCATTAAGGTCTCTGRCCTATTAATATGAGAGGGAGGTTAGGATGTGAGAGATGATTATAGACATTATGCCAAAAGGTACACCAAAGCTTTTTATTCGGCTCCCCATACATACAAACCAGCAACCAAGAAGGATAGTTGGATCCAATCCACAACTTTAAAACAATATAATTTTGGGAAGAAAATTGAACAGAGATATCAAACCTAGATTTCCAAAACACAAGCAGGCCTCCAACCAGCCCCTCATAGGGAACACACACAAAATTTGGGTACCGCAAGAGAAAAATTAAATCAGTGCTCCACTTAGAAACTGCCATAAGTCATTTTCTTCCCTGACAGTTCCAATTGCATATCCTCATGGCCCCCAGGAGGCTAGCCACCACTRCCCACTTTATTACAGACAAAAATCCATATACCAACAAAGTAGAAGCCCCCTCCATTCCTTCTACAACTCCTTTTCCTCCAGACATCCTTCCTAATTTTTGGCCAAATTGTGAGAAGCACCCAGGTCAATACATCTAAAGTCCAAATTAGAAGAAAAAAGTTATCTACATTAATTAACTAAACGAGTCCCTCATAATCCCCACCCATATCGTTTAAAAAAGATATTGCCTAATTCTTTACCCTAACCCGACTCCAATTCCTGAATCCTAATTCCCGATTCTATCCTCTGGTGTTTCCCCGAGCCTCCACCTGTCGCCTCCTCCCCCATTCCCTCCAATTTACTATCCTATCAACTCTGTGACATGCATGGGAACCTACAATCCAGATATCGAGATTCCTCCTTCAACTGCTTCACTTCCTTCTCCAGGTTCCTAACCGCCAAATTGCTAGAGTCACCATTACTTCCTCCTACTGCCTAACTTGAGATCTCCACATCAGCAGCCCTGTCCTATCCACCTCCACCTACATCTCCTGCCTCTCTTGCCTAGGTTGTCGTTGGCCACTGTGAATCGAACTCTCTTCTCCTATATTCCTCTTCTCCAATCTCTCCTCATCTAAAAGCCTTGGAACATACTTCCAAGAAGCAGGTCTCTTCCAGTCCTCCCTCATGGCTTGTTCCTCCTTTAACCATGGTTTCGGGTGCTTCATAGTTCGAGAACTGAAAAACGCATCAAGTACTAGAAGGGGTCCTGCACTACAGTTCCTAAAATGGTAGGGACCACAATTATAACAAGCATATAGGAGTTTTTCATATTTGAGCGCCGCCCAGATAGTGGGAGAAAGGAAGGTTCCACACTTTAATGGAGTATTCATAGAGATTTGCACCTTAGTTTGAACGTAACTATCTCTCTTGGAACCCCAAACGACTTTTTCTCCGATGGCATCGCCAACATCCGTATCCATGTAGTCAGTCGTCATGAATTTGGACCCGCACCTCCCGCTTCATGCAAGGACATAAAAGAAGGGGCTTGTCCTGCATGCCATCCATTGCTCGAAGACAAACTAAGGACCATCCATTAAAACAGAGTTGAAGTTACTCGTTTCCTTAAATAGCACTCTAAAATGGCCCTTTTGAAGTGGAAGGATTCTTACCCGTTCTTCATCCATTTTCCATGCTGTCATGAGAGCTCGTCTCACATCTTGGAATTGAAACATGGTTTTGGATTCCTCGAACCGGGATAAAGCTGGACGACCCCTGATGTGCAGGACATCCACATCCAAATTGATATACTATTTGACAGCTTGCACAAAAGATTGTTGAAGTTCATACAGATTTTCCATCCTCAAATACCATAGAGGCTCCAAGAAAAGAAGAAGAAGAAGAGACAATAATGACAACTTTCACTGCAAGAGACACAAAGACCCCTAGCCTTAAATAGTCTAGACAAGGGGAAAGCTCTACCCCACCCAATAGGAGCCTCAACCCGAGGAACCCAACGAGGGGACTCCCAACCCAACAAAGAGGAAACGAACCTTTAGACCCTACTCCCACAGAGCTACACTCCCCCCTCCCCAACGCAAAGGAGAATAAAAACCTCGCCCACACTTCTGAAAAGCCACAAAGGGAACAACCTTACCAAGAAAAAACATGACCGTCAACGATGAAAGCCCGTTCAAGTTGATTGTAAGCCTATGAGATGAGCATTTTTTTATATCCCATCTAAAATCTGTTAGTAAGATTCGTTCGCATGCTCAGTCACCCAAGACCCCAGGTTGTATTCTTTCTCCTTCTCTTCTCTCTCTCATATCTTGAMTGCTTAGAGCCTATTCGTTTGCACTAAACTAACTTCTTAATCGTAATGATTGCTTATGGCTTGTTCAGATGCTTAGGGTTGTTCGTTTACACTAAACTAACATCTGCTTTCAAAGGCACATTGGAATTGATGAACTTTTCTTGGTGCCGATATCTAAATGTAGAGAATGTTGTTTTGAAATATGAAAGTTGGATTATAAAAAAATAAAATTAAYCATTTTATCTTTAGAAAATAGAATGTTTAACTATTTAATAAATTGATTAATAGTTAATGAAATGATTACAAAATGATTAAAAATTAGGAAATTGATTAAAATTTACAAATAGGTATCTGTGTACAATATGGGTATGGTTGCAAAAAACTAAAACAACCAAGGGGTAAAATGTGATTTAGATGTTTTCTTTTGTTTTTTGTTTTTTTCCTAAGAAAAAGAAACTTCTAATTCATTAAAAGCAAAATAAAGAATACAATAGATAATGTACATCCAAGCCAGGAAAACTCCACAAGAACTACACAACTAGAGATCTATCACTATATAAAAATCTCCTTGTGGGCACCAGCTTATAATTGATTGATGGGCATATCCTTACTAGAATAGGAGATTAGTAATCTTCTCAGCATCTCCCTTGAAGTGGCAGTAGAGAGGTATAGTTCAAAGTCAAACTAAATGCCTTCCTTAAAGGCCCGAGTTTATGTTGTTTAGGCTCAATTTGTAAAAAGTACAAATGCAAATATGTACAATGCAAATACATACAAAATAATATAAAATACAAGGTTTTTCACTTTACATATTTGTATTTGTACTCCCTCCAAATTGAGCCTTATGTGCAATTGAACACTATGATTTTTATTGTTTCGTATGGAATAGCATTAAACCATTGCCTCTAGTGCAACCAAATGCCCCCTTAGTAAGAACAAGGGATCTGTTGCAAACATGTGAGCAAACCTTGTTACCTAACCAATGATTAGGCCTGTAAATGGAGTGCATTCGAATTGAATTAGATCATATTTGAATTTGAATTTAATTTATAAATAATTATTTGAATTCGATTTGATATTCGATGAATATTTAAAATTACAAACCAATTGTGAATTCGATTATATAATTAAATATCCAATATGATTCAAATTCAGCTAATTCCTTGCTTTTACATTGAAAATACTAACTTTTGAAACCAGACTAAGGAAGAAACCATCTCTGTAATGTTATACCATGTGAATGAAGAAGATAGACAAAGAATATATAAGAAATAAAAGAGAACAAAAAACTTATAAAAATCTATAACAAATGACAGATTAAGTCTCTAGTTTGTRAAAAAGAAAATATCTTCCGAGAGTGGGGCATAAGTAATGTAGAGAGAGAATAGAGGRAGAGCAAGAGGGAGAAACAAGTTTTTTTGTGACCTATGATTTTTTAGACACTGTAAAAAGATTAAACTAGATGATGACTTAGGCAAATAGAGGTCAAAGTTGAAATGCCTAACATTCAAGTGATGTGAAGCCCCTTTGCGATTTTTAGTTCTCTCTATTTCTTGCTCCCTCAAATTTTCTTTATAGAGTAGTTGCAAGTAAAAGGGGAAGAAACAAGGAAAGAAGGAGGGCAAATGCTTGAGAAGGGAAAGAAACAATGGATGTACTGCTTTGATAAATGAAAAAGTAGAAAATGAGTAGTCTTTTTGACCGCTATCCGCAAGAGTACAGAGTCATACAAGTAATATAGTAAGGAGTACAGAATCGTTCCCACGAGGAATGAATTATTTAGCCACCTATTAATTTCTTCTCAACTTGTTTAAAGCAATAATCAATTGGGTTGCGAATTAAGGAATCTAGACTGGCACTACTGATTAAGGAAATTAAATGATAAAAACAAGAACTTAAACAAAATCAATAACAAAGTTGCTAGGGATTAATCCTATCACGATCATCAAGATTCAATACTAATAAAATCTCATGAGGGCTGTTATATTCCAAGGTATTTCCTAAAAGCACTAGTCGATCTTTCTCAAGAGTCGATTAGCTAAACCTATGTTTAATTAAATGGAATTACAATCAAGGAATTCGCATTCTCTCAATTGAAATCCTCTTTGCATAAACACAAGTTGTTAATACACCTATAAGGAAATCATACCAACAAATGATATCTCTACCTAATTATTGGCTGAACAAGTGTTATTAGTTCCACCTCGATTATCATCTCTCGATGCATAATCTTAATTAAAGAACGAATCATTGGTGATCAATCAATGATAAGTAGTCAGCATAAATAACACAATATACCAAGAACCTCATCGATTTTACTAATGACTGAAAATCAATGCATGATCAAGTATTAATCCTTAACAATAGAAAACTAGCCACTCATGA